GTATGGGAATGCAGGTACCCGCAGAGTCTAGTAGGGAGTGTAAGATCCTGTCTTAGTTAACATTCTCTTGCTGTGAAGAAACACCATGACCACGACAACTCTTATAAAGGAAACATATAATTAATGACTTGCTTACAGTTTCAGAGAGTTAGTCCATAATCACCATGGCAAGCTTGGGCAACCGACTAAGCTCTGTCTCAAGTAAAGAGGACTTAGCTCTGTCTCAAGTAAAGAGGAGGTAGGTGCTCTAGTGTAGCATGGGTTACACAAACACATGGGTTCAAACCCTAGCACCACCACCAAAAGAAAACACAACCCCTTCCCCAGAGTTTTCTGATTTCCCCTTACATGTTGCAGAAGTCAGCAATGGATGGATTCCATTTTCAACCTAGAAAGACCCTTTCACATGCCCCGGACTGTAGGCTCAGTCTTAAGGTCACCTGCACTTCAAAAGGCATTCTCAAGTCCAAGTTGTTTACGTGTGCTTTTGATCAACTAGATGTAAACAGAGGTTCACACAGCCCCCTCCTCAAGTTCAAATAATCTGCAACATTCTCACAGAACTCAGGAAAACATGTGTGTTTCTGATTTATTATCAACGGTATCTCAAAGGACACAGAGGAGAGAGATGTAGAGCTATCCTGTCTCCAGGTGCTTGACCCTGTTCAGCAAGCTGGCTGGTCCCTGAACCTCACTGTCCTTTAGAAATGTCATGGAGATGCAGTTGCTAAATTGCTGGATGGGGAGACCCAGCAAGGACTGTCTGAATTCTTTCTGTGCTAGAAACCCTCCCCTGGGACACAGGAAAAATCCCTGAAGGACGAGGAGAGCCTTATGACCTACTACCAGACACAGAAGTCAGAGCCTTTCTTTGTGGCCATCTAAAGTTGGGAAAAGCAGAGTAGATGGCCGGGAGGTCATATGCAAGGAACCGTGGACAAAACCGATGAGTACACACTGTGATATAGGACACAGGTTCTCAGCCCCTTCACCCAGAACTTGCCTTCTCACAGGAAAAAACGGTTCCTCCTCCACCCTTCTTCTGCACACCAAGCCAGGATTTCTCCCACCTGCCTTAAGCCACCCCAAGGACCTAGTACCAAGTAGCTAGAGACTTCGCTATATGCCTCCTTTCTCAGAGTAGCAAATCCTAAACTCCTCTCCCTCCTACCTGTCTCCATGGAAACCCAATGAAGATGTTGAGCGGTACCCTCCCCCTCTCCTGTTTCTGTCTCCTAGTCTCCTGACTGGGATGATGCTGTGGGATAATGCTCTTGTACCCTGTAAAGATTTGTCACTCAAATTGGTTTAATAAAACACTGACCAGTAGCCAGGCAGGAAACATAGGTGGAGCAACCAGATTAGGAAAATCCTGGGAAGAGAAAAGGCTCTGTCTGCAGTCGCCACCCAGACGCAGAGGAAGCAAGAACAAAATGCTGCACAGAGAAATGGTACCAAGCCACGTGGCTAAACATAGATAAGAATTACAGTTTAATTTAAGTTGTAAGAGCTAGTTAAAAATAAGCTTGAGCTAATAGTCCAAACAGTTTATAATTAATATAAGCCTCTGTATGTTTCTTTGGAACTAATCAACTGCAGGACCAGCTGGGACAGAAACTTCCATCTACAAATTAAAAACAGAGTCAAGCACAGCTTCTTAGTAACCATCTTTTCTCCAGTAGGCTCTGTATGCTAGAGGCACAAGCAGAGGCGCGGTTCCTTTAAGAGAGGCTTCCTAGTCAGGCACATGGTGCACTCCTTTAGTCCCAGCACTAAAGTGGAGACAGGAGTGATATGGCTGGGCGGAGAGAGTAGTATAAGGAAGGAGGAGACAGGAGCTCAGTGCAGTCTGATGTTTGGTGGAGACAGCTGTAAGCTGAGGATGCCGTCGGTCAGAGGACACAGTCTGAGGACAGGATCGCCCTTTCTGTCTGAGGACTCTGTCGAAGTAAAAAGTCTCTTGGCTGCACTGCTTCTCTGATCTCTCAGTGTTTGCCCCCTAACACCTGACTCTGGGTTTTTATTAAGAACAATTAGAATTCATGCTACAATAAGCCACTAATAAAAAGACATTATGTAATTCCGTTTTAGACAATTATCGTTACATTTATTTGTCCGGGTGTGTATGTGGGCAGCTGGGCATGCACATGTGAGGTCAGAGGACAACTTGTTGGGGCCGGTTCTCTCCTTCCACCATATCTGTCCCAGGGTCAAACTCAGGTTGTCACGTTAGGTGAGAAACGCTTCTACCCTGTGAGCCATCCCACTAGCCCATGTGATTCCACTCAGGCACATTTACAGAAAAAGAAAATGGAATCGCCTTTGCTCCATGAGAAATGATGGTGGGGCTCACTTTCCTGTTTTGTTGTTGTTTCGAGACAGGGTATCTATTTAGCCCTAGCTGACCAGACTCACTATGTAGCATAGGCTGGCCTCAAACTCACAGAGATCCACCCGTCTCTGCTGTCTGAATGCTGGGATTAAAGGTGTACACTACCACACCAGGCATTATTTTAAATTTTTCATCATGTGTCTGTCTGTGTACCTATGTGGGGTTATGTTCACATGAGTGCAATGCCCACATTAATCATGTGTCTGTCTGTGTACCTATGTGGGGTTATGTTCCCAAGAGTGCAATGCCCACAGAGGCCAGAAGAGGGTGCTGGAGCTCCTGGTGCTGGAGTTGCAGGCAGTTGTGGGTGCTGTGCAAGAGGAGTGCATGCTTTTAACCACTGAGCCATCTCTGCAGTACCCAGCTTCCCAGTTTATTAAGTCCACACATGACTCTGCATATTATAGTTTGTGAAATGCTTATGTGTGTGTGTGTGTGTGTACGTATATGTACATACACACATATTGTTTAAGGCCATACATATATAACTGTCATGAGCCTTGGGATCAAGCTAAGATAAGGTGGGGCTTGAAACCAGAAAAGAAGCCAATGATTCAGTAACTATGATAACTGGTTTGAACTGCTCCTGGGCAGAGTGGTGATGTACAGGGCACCTGCTGAAAGACACAGCGAACCCTGGGAAGCAGACAGCTCCATCCCAGCGCACACCTTTCTAGAGTTAGTTCTCACCCGCCACCTTGTTGAGTCAGGGTTTTCCTTGTTTCTTCTGCTGTGCTGCATCAAGTGCCGCTGCCCCTCTCCCCAGGCCTTCCAAGGACTTGCCTCCATCTTGCTGTAGGCGTGCTGAGTTCACAGTTGTGCTGTAATAGCTGGTTTGTTTCTGGGTCCCAGGTGTGGGGAATGAGTTTTCTGCCTAGTGCTGAACCACCTCCCTGACCCTTACGAGTGAAGTTGTAAGGTGGCATTCTGGGGTGCTCGGTGTATTGTTTGATCTAGAGAGGGGCTGACACACTTCACTTGGGGCTACAAACACTGTAGCCCAAAGTAAGCATGGGCTGTGTCTAACATCCTTGCCTGACAGGTCTGTAGGGAAACAGGTCCTATCTCCATGGCCAATCTTGGTTTTATCAGTTGTCTTGAAGTTGCTTGACTTAGCAGGAAATACAAGTTAGATTCCAGAGCGAAGGGCTCCAGAGTGAAGGGTGTCTCTCCCTTCCACGCCTTTTAAAATCTTTTCTTTCTATTTTATCTCAGGCGGAAACTAAGAAGTATATACCACGTATTGAATGGTGTCTGGCAGAAAGACACATTCAGCTCCTGACAGTATTTGTGAATGGAGCCTTTAAAATAGGAAACCGGCCCTAATGCAACGTGATGTCTGTTCTTATGGGAAGGACAAGAGGCACAGTTTTGTGAGCGGCAAGAGTCAGAGAAGACTGATGTGCTCTGTCTGAAGATGGCTGTCACATCTCCAGGAGCTGGAGTCGAGGCCAAGCGCACGCATACTGCCCTTAGAGCCTCTGCGAAGGGGCCAGGCTTTAGCATCTATCAGTACGACAGAATACATTTCTGTTTACGCCACCCAGTTTGGAGCACTTTTTTTGGTCTACAGATTTTTTTTTTCAAATTTTTTTGGTGGTTGGTAAGGTTTGAACCTAGGACCTCATGAATGTTGGGCAAGCACTCTACCTTAAACCTACATCTCTAACCGTAGTAGCCTCCACACAGTGAACTAAAATGGTGTGAAATGTAGACGGTGCCATGGAAGGAAGGTACTGCGTGTCATCATTGTGCTGTGTTTGTCTAGGGGACTGAGGGAGGCTCGTGTTTATACAGCTTTATCCCGAGGAGTGTGAGCCAAATACACTGATGGCTAACTTCGATAGATTCAACTCTCCTACTTTGGCCAACATTCCCTGTTAGGAATCTTTTTTTTTTTTTTTTAATTTATTTATTTATTATTTACACAATATTCTGTCTGTGTGTATATCTGCAGGCCAGAAGAGGGCACCAGACCCCATTACAGATGGTTGTGAGCCACCATGTGGTTGCTGGGAATTGAACTCAGGACCTTTGGAAGAGCAGGCAATGCTCTTAACCACTGAGCCATCTCTCCAGCCCCCTCCCTGTTAGGAATCTTAAAGCCAGATTGCAGTAGACAATTCCTGATCTCTCTAGAACATTCCAGAAGCTGGGAAGAATTAGTCACTAGCTGAACATACCTCAGAGAGGAGGGGTTAGTTACTTTTCCCTAGGAAGATAAAAAAGATAAGATGCAGGAAGGTCATCAGTAAGGACCCGCGTGCTCAGATCTGGCTTACAGTCGTGACTTTCCTCTCTCGAAACCAATACAACACAATTTTTCTTGAAGCAAAGAGCTGAGGGACGATGAAATACAAATTATACAGATTGAGGAGAAAAGGATGCCAGGAAATGGAATTGAGGTTCTGCGTTCAAGGAGATAAACAGATTAAAGAAAAACCTGATAACAAGTGGAATAAAGGGACTAAGAGATCTCAGGGCAAGACCCCACCCAGCTAAGCTTCCGAAAGGAAATCTTAGAGCTGGGTGTTGCACACCTTTAATCCCACACTCCTGAGGCTGAGAAGGGTGGGTCTCTGAGTCCAAGGCCAGCCTGGTCTGCAGTTTGAGCTTCAGGACAACCAAGCTCAGTCAGGAAGGAAGCTTTGAAAACAGAAAGCTGGTGAGGATGTAATTGAGTGAGGGGCCGTGGTCCAGCCCCAGCAAGCAGCAGAACTTGGTGGCTTCAGCCTCGTGGTTCTGAGTTTAGAGTGAAGGACAGAAGAAAGGAGTCATGGAATCTCCCTCTGTGACTAAGGAAAGTCACTGAGACCAGTCGTGTGTCAGGGGTGTCCCTGCATAGAGACCGAGAGAGGCCATTGTGTGAAACTGTGAAGCTGAAGCCTGGATTGTCTTGGAGACCCCAAGATGTTGGAGATGCCAGAGCCATGGGATACCTGCTGAGGAGAGCTGCGAACAGGGAGTGGAACCAGCTCAAGAGAGAGAAGTGTGTTGCAGTCAACAAAGCTGAACAGAGGTGAAGATCTAAAGAGTATTTGTGGTGTGTCTGTGTGTATGTGGTATATGTGTGTGTAGTGTGTCTGTGTGTGTGTGGTGTGTATGTGTAGCGTGTCTGTGTGTGTGGTGTGTGTATGTGTGGTGTGCCTTGTGTGTGTAGTATTGTGGTGTGTGTGTTATTGTGGTGTCTGTGTGATGTGTGTGGTGTATGTGTATATGGTATTGTGGTGTGTGTGGTGTATGGATATAAAAGCCAGTGGAGAGGGCCAGGCATCCTCTATCGCTCCCCACCTTATGCCTTTGGGGGTCTCTCTTTGGACCCAGAGCTTGCTTTTTTTCTTTTTTTCTCTTTAGTTAGGTTTGAAATCAGCAAACCCATGATCCTCCTTGTCTCTGTCTTACTCAGGGCTCCGTGCCACACCCTGCTTGCTCCATAGATGTTGGGATCCGAACTCTGGCCACAGAAGAGCTTGTGCAGCAAGCACTTGTACCCACCGAGCCATCTCTCTAGCTTGACAATCTGTTTTTGGGTTTGCGGTTCCTGCTTTTCATTAGTCTGGTTTTTAGTTTAAGGTCATTCAGAGCAGACAACTAAAAGCAGCGCTTGGAGTTTTCCCTCTTCCCTTGCTTTGCCGACTGTCCTGGTGTATTGCAGCTTGCTGATCCAAGATGAAGAAAGGGAATGCAATGGCGGTCACCTCCCGCAGGGTTCCAAAAGAAGCCACTTCCTGTCAAGGTGAGATAGGACCGCCTGTGCCCCCTCTGAGCACACTGAAAGATGAAAGAAAATCTGAGGCCCCGGCTTTTCCTGTTCTTTTGAGGCATTGGCAGAGCGGACTGTTGGAGTGTTTCTAGTGGGGAGGCGAGGAAGAAGGAACAATGGCTACATCTTAAAATCAGCTGGAGGAGGGTCAGGGGGCCATGCTGGCAGCCTGCTGGTTTAGCCTGCTTTCCCTCCATCATGTATCACCAAAGAGAATCTGATTGTTGTTTCGTATCCTTAACAGCAAAACGGGGGACACTGAGGTGGCTCAGTGTGCAGAGGTGCTCGCTGCCAAGCCTGGTGACTGGAGTTTGATCCTCAGAAGTTGTAGAGTGGAAGGAGAAACTGGGCTCTGGAAAGATATCCTTTGACCTCCTTACGTCTTTGCACACGCACACACACTAAATAGTTATGATTTTTTAAATAAAGAATAAAAGCCAATCGTATCATATTCTGCAGCTTCTCAGACCAGCACAAACTGAACAGGATGATTAATGCTACAAAAATCCGAATACCAGAGCACTGATTTATGATGATAAAACAGCTGCCTTGTTCAGTTCCCATCAGCCCACTCTGAGAGGGCCAGGCATCCTAGCTGGATGTTCACACCCTGGCTGTTCATTGCCAGGCACTGAGGTTCTGAGGCAGCCATAACAGAGGCCAGAAGGATGCATGCCTTGCAGACACGGTGAGTCTGAGCCGTTCCCACTGAGGGGAGGCCACAGCAGCTCGCTCCTGAGACGGCTATCCTCCTCTGGAGCAAGCATTGCGTGTGCACAGATTCGGTTTTGTCTTCTATCACAGCCCTCAATCATGATCAGACTCATTACTATTTCTTCTGAATCCAATACGCTTAATGTGAAGTTAAGGCTTACGAGAGAAATAATAGAGTAAGACTTCACAAACACAACACAAGCATTTGCACACATACATATGTACACACACATATGCATATGCACACACATACACACATTCACACACACAAGCACACATGTACACATACACAGACAGACACACACATGTGCACACTTCATTTTTGCAGTGTGTAGAACTTAACTCAGGGAATGTACATCGCTAGGCAAGTGCTCCACCTCTGAGCCATGTCTTTTGATCTATGTGTTTTTGACTCCAGGTTTATCCAGAGTGACTACCTAGGGGGCTCTAAGAGAGAAAATAAACAAATGTAACCCTATAACGCTGAAGGCCCAGAAATGCACTGATGTCTATAGCTGAGAAACTATTTCAAAGAAGACAAACAGGGGCTTGAGAGGTGGCCCAGCGGTGAAGAGCATTGACTGCTCTTCCTGAGGACCCGGGTTCAATTCCCAGCACCCACATGGCAGCTCACAACTGTCTGAAAATCCAGTTCCAGGGGATCTGACACCTTCACACCAATGCACATAAAATAAAGTAAAATAAACCATAAATTTTTTTTTAAAAAAATCAAAGACAAACAATCCTCCCCTTGGCGGCCAGTCACCACCCAACCCTGGGAACTATGGAGAATGGAGAACCAGCAATCTCAGGACACAAGGTCAAAGGGAAGTCTAAGGGCTGGGTGTGCAGCTCCGTGGAAAGAGTACTTGCCTTGTATGCAAGAAACCCTTGGTCCATTCCCACCAAGGCTGTGCCGGTGCACGCCTGTAAATCCCAGAAGCTGGAAGGTTAGCAACATCAGCAGAGCAAGGTCATCCTTAGCTACTTAGTGAGCTCAAGGCCAACCTGAAATATGTGAGACCCTGACTCAAGGAAAAGGTGGGAAGGGCTGAGAGGTGGCTCAGTAGTGAAACGCTCGCTGCACAAACCTGAGGACCTGAGTTCAGTGTCCACATAGCAAGGCCTCTTTTTAAAGCAAGAATCTATGAGCAAGACCACAAAAGAGGAGATGAGGGTGTCCAGGCAGGAGAGCAGAAGAAAGGCACCGAAGGGGAAGTGACTCAGATCCTGCCTCCCGTGGAAAGCTACACAGAAAGAAATGACCTGGAGGCTGGAGAGGAAGCTCCGTGGGTAAACACAAACATCAGGACTTGAGTTGAGTTCAAATCTCCACCATGTAAAAGGCCAGGCATGGCCGAGAACATGTCTGTAACCCAAGAGCTGTGTGGGATAAAGACAGGAGGATTGATGGAGGGAGGGAGAGGTCTCATACATCTTAAATTAACCCATTTTTATTATTTTATGTTTTACCATGAGGCTTGTAGCCTACCAGTAAGGTTCTGGCTGGCTGTCTCCTTCCGCTGCTACAATGTGGCGTCTCTCAGACTCTGCCTACTCTCTCTCTACATCTCTTCAGATTTCCTGCCTGGCTTTACTCTGCTAAGCCCTTGGCTGAAAGCAGCTTCTTTATTCACCAATGGCAATAAAACATATTCACAGCATACAGAGGAGAATCCTCATCATAGGACGGGGCTGCCAGAGTCTGAGCAAAGAAAGGACTTCCGGGAAGTATCATTTAAGGAGTACATGTTCCAGCCCCGGTAAACAGCAGAATTTGGCAGCTTAAGCTAGCAAGTTAAGGATAGGAGAAAGGGACTGTGGATTTTGCTCCTGAGACTAAGCATGTGTCAGGGGTGTCCCTGAATGGAGGCCCAGAGAAGCCATTGCATGAAGCTGTGAAGGTGAAGCCTAGATTGCACTGGAGACCCCAAGATGCTGGGGATGTCAGAGCCATGGGATACCTGCCGAGGAGAGCTGCTAATGGGGAGTGGAACCAGCCCAAGAGAGAGAAGAGTGTTGCAGTCAACAGAGCTGAAAGGAGTTGGAGATCTGAAGAATGCTTTGACATCAGACAAGCGCAGAGATGTAGAGTTTTGAATTTGCCCAGCTGTTTTTCAGTCTTGCTCTGGTCCAGCATTTTCTCACTATGGCCTCTTCCCTACATTTTGGAGTGGTAATGTATATTCTGTGCCATTTTATGTTGGGAGTATGTGATCTGAATTTTGACTTTGATTTTACAGGGGATTACAGTTAAGAGACTGTATGACTCTCAGAAGACTTTGAACTACACCACAAGGACTTTTGAAGTTGGACTAAATGCATTTTTGCATTATGATATTGTCAAAAGCTTATTGGGGGCCAGGAAGTAAAATAAATATGGTCGTTTCAATGTAATTGGCCCCCATAAGCTCATAAGGAGTGGCAATATTAGGAGGTGTGGCCTTGTTGGAGTAGATGTGGTCTTATTAAAGGAAGTGTGTCACTGCAGATGCAGACTTTGAGGTCTCATATATGCTCAAGCCGTGCCCAGTGAGACAGACCACTTCCTGTCACCTGCACAAGATGTAGGACTCTCAGCTCCCTCTCCGGCACCATGTCTGCCTGCGCACCACCATGCCCTGCCATGATGATAATGGACTGAACCTCTGAACTAACTGTAAGCTGTCACCTCAATGAAATGTTTTCCTTTATAAGAGTTGCTATAGCCAGGTGGTGGTGGCGTAAGCCTTTAATCCCAGCACTCGGGGAGGCAGAGGCAGGCGGATCTCTGTGAGTTCAAGGCCAGCCTGGTCTACAAGAGCTAGTTCCGGGAGAGGCTCCAAAGCTACAGAGAAACCCTGTCTCAAAGAAACCAAAAATAAAAAAAAAAAATGATTTGCTGTGGTCATGGTGTCTCTTCACAGCAATAGAAAGCCCAACTAAGACACACTGTAAAACAAAAAAGCCGTCGTCTTACCCTGACCACTGCTCAGCTTAGTCCCCATGCATAGTATGTTTGTTGCTGCTCAAAGTTTCTTCTACTTAGTCAATAACTGGACTTTGTTTTTTCAGAAATTTATTTTGCTTTATCGTTTTTAAAAATATCCCTTTTATTACTTTTAAATATTCATGTGTGTGTGTGTGTATGTTTGTGTGTGTGTGTGTGCCTGCAAGTCTGTATTGTACCACATGCATGTAGGATTCCAGAGGAGTCCAGAAGAGGGTGCTGGATCCCCTGGTGCTGGAGTTACAGGGGTTTGTGAGTCGCTGGACAAATGTGCTGGGAATTAAACGCGGGTCCTCCTTAGGAGCACCATGCCCTCTTGACTGCCAAGCCACCTCTCTGGTCTATCCACGACTGTATTCTTAATAAATTCTGCCCTTTGCTGCTCTATAGTTCCTCGTATTCTTCTCGTTTCTAGGAGCCTCTGGTGAGTCCGTATTAAATCTTTCTCACAAATCTTCTCGGCAGGAATCAAAGCCACAGACAACTCTATAATATTAAATAACAAACATCCAAGCGGCAGATGGCGAGGGTTCTAAAATCAGACGTGGTTTTGAATTTGCAATATTATATTCAGCTGGCCTGGGGCAAGTAATTTAAACTCTCCAAACTTCAATTCCCACAGCCATAAAATTGTGGAAATATACCTCGTGAAGGTCCCATAAAGAAACAGTTAATATCAGCCAAATAATTGCTAAATGCCAGGCTCAGATTTAAGGGCTAAAAGTAGTAACTCATTTAGGAATTTACAAGCGCCTCAGGAGAGTCCTGGACTGCCATCTTTCTGACGATGAAGAGCGTGAAGGGGCCGGAGAGGTGGCTCAGCTCCGTTCCAGCAGCTACATCAGGTGGCTCCCAACTGCTCGGAATGCCAATTCCCGGGGATCTGACATCCTTGTCTGGCCTCCGGGCACTTACATGAGTGTGGTACATATCATACATTCAGTCACACATACAAACACATAAAATGAAAATAAAAAAAATTGTTTCTTAAAGTGAGGCTCAAAGGGGATTTAGAAAATAAATCAGTGGAATTGTAGAGACACAAGCTGAGCCAAATGGCTTGGCCGCAAAGCCCAGACCCCAGAGCACTGATCCTCCCAGCACAAAGCTCCCGCTCCACCTGCACGAGGGACTAGAAAGTGACGGGCACAGAGGAGCCATCGTTCAGTGTGGTACATTTCACATAATCCCTCTCAAGCAGAGGTACACAGCCTGTGATCCAAGGCATCATGGGATGTGCTCCAACGGGTGTGTAGGTGCAAACACGCACCTCCATGTCAACAGCTTGGATACCCCCAGATACGGCAAGGTACATCACTGAGTCTGGTATAGGGCATTTCATTCTTCGTCTGCCTACCAGACACTTCTCTAGTGACAGACAGACAAGTCAAAACTCTGTTATACATAGACAGCCCAGACCAGCACGCTGTACATTTGACAAAGCAACACCTGTAATCGCTGCACTCAGGAGGCCAAGGCTAACCTGAGCTACACTGTGAACTTCAAGCCAGCCTGGGCACCAGTGTGAGATTCTGTCTCAACAGGAATGAAGGAAATGTGTGTGTGTGTGTGTGTGTGTGTGTGTGTGTGTGTGTGAGAGAGAGAGAGAGAGAGAGAGAGAGAGAGAGAGAGAGAG